CGGATTAGACGGGACCTCCAGCAGGCGAGATAGCGGGGCTGTGTGCGATGCGTACGATGATAGTAACAGTTATAGTAACACACACGCGCAGTTGGATTTCAGGACGTGTGGGGGCTCTCGTGTGCGCTGTGAAAGCTCCATGTATGCAATTGAATTGCACAACAACGCACCCGCACATTCATGTGCACACTCACACACACATCATCAAGGCTATCGCACACACGACCTTTCACATTGTACAAATACACATGTGTACACACACCCATGCATGGAATCACACGTAAAAGTAGACATGAATAGGGAGACGCATCTGACTGGATCAGATCATTCTCGCAGGGTGCTTGCTAAGGCTGCACGTCGCATCACACGGACACAACCGCAACCACAACTACAATCACAGTCACTAGCTATACCTGTAAGGCATAGTATATCGACAGACGAATACGCTACACTGCTATGTAGAGCTGAGCCAGATACAGTAGCCATGAGCGACAGAGACCTGTATAACGAGTGGGTGTTTAATAGTGATAACAGCTACACACCTAGCCAGATCAGATGGCTGCAGAAACACCAACCGGCTATGGTAGGTGATGCATTAGGCCGGGGTCATGTCAGTAACGGGGTTTGGGGTGACGACTATGGGAACAATACAAATGCGAATGCGAGGCGTACGCACTGCGATACCGATGAGGTGCTGAGGCGACAAGTGGCTCGGTTTGGATCCAAGCTGCGCACCACACAGTCTAGCTTTCTGTGATATTCATGAGTTTAATCACGTATTTTATTATATATTATATATATATATATATTATATTATATTATATTATATTATACACACACACACACACACACGCACACTCACACACACACATATATATATATACATATATGTACATATATAGTGTTGTTCTCACGCATGGATTAGTGATTGTTTCCATACTTGTTAAGTATAGGTTGTCTGCAGGATTAGCGAGGGAATTATCAAGAATACCTATAGAGATGACCTTTGGCCACCGGGCTCGGTCGAGCTACTGCCTTTTCAACGAAGGCATGTACGATCAAGTGCACATGAGAAGAAGTGCCTTAATGACTGCGTTCTTAGTGTAAAATTTAGGTTGCTATTTAGGAGGGCCTTGGTTTGTGTGAGCGCAGCTGTCAGGGCCTAAGGGGTTATGCAGGGGTTTAGCTCAAGCAATACGCCTCATCATCCAAGAGAAATACGCGGAAGTATCATCGGGAAGTTTCATTCATAAGTGGTCCAGGCCCTACCGGCGTACCGTAGAAATATTCATCTGTGTCTGTAGGTAGGTGCGGGGATGTGCGAGGCGGAATCTTGGGTACCAGATTTACAAAAATGGTACACATGTGTGTTGCTATCTAGTTGCAGCTCTATATGAGCAGAAGAAAGTCGCACCGACTCTGCTTTGAACACGACCAGCGTTGGAGTAGAAAGCGGTCTGAACGTACTCGTCATGATCTGGGTCTGTAAACAAGGCTCACTGAAGGCCAAACCTATAGAAGAGTAAAATCGTCATTGGATATTAGGGACCGTGAGAGTATCTGTGTGGTGGATGATATATGTAGATTGTGGTAAGGGGAAGAAGATATATGTAGATTGTGGTAAGGGGAAGAATAATTGTAGTATGATGCCAAAGCTGACGCAAGGTGGTTAGATATACGCTTGAAAATTGGGAGACACGCAAAATGTGTGTAGTATTATATTGAAGACTTTTGTAAAGGAAATAAAATGTAGTTGTCGGCTTGTAACCGTTTATAGAGAATTTTGAACACGACAATACTCATTGTGACAGCTTCGTTTGCAAAACAATGTTCATATATGTGTTGACTGCTGTTAATGAACCATACATCTTTTAATTTACTGTCCATAACTCCATCTTGACAAGCGTTCATGCGGACAACGTGTAAATCGACAGAGGTTCCTTTTTGAATCATCTATAAATAGATACACGTATACACGCACGCGAACACAAACGCACGTTTACACACACGCACACACACTCAAACACAAACAAACACACATAAAGATAATTTATATATATATATATACACACACACACACACATATCATATACACACACATATACATACTACATACATATATATATATATATATGTATATATATATATATATATATAATTATATATATATATATATATATACATATACATATACATATGCGTATACATATACATTAAATATATATATCTATATCCATATATATCAGTATTGAAGGCACATATATAAATTCTGTGGAACACTATTCAATATATTCAAAGTCTGAAATTTTAACATATAATTATGTTCGCTTCTTGTATATATATTTACACCTACACACTTTGCATATATTTATGGGTATGTATTTGTGTAGAGTTGCAGCAGCTTGTCATTGCAACTTCGTTAGTACTAGAATACTGTGATGTGACGTCGTAATGCTCGCAAATTCACCAACTCCGGCTGAATTTGCAAGCGCTACACGTCGTGACCCATAAGCTGATTGAGTCAAGGTACACTTTCTCCGTGCTCAACTGGTCAAACACACGTGAGTAAATATTTCAGGTCTGCCCACTGTTGGTCTACTTAATTTCTGTTGTTTCACACCGGACATATTTCCAACCTGCCTAACCACGACAAGCGTTGCCCCTACAAGAGTGCACAGCTCTAGTTATATCTCAGGGTTTCCAAAGCGAATAGCGGTGAAACCTCGGATTGAAGTTACGAGGCGGCCACGCGTGAGCGCAGAGGTGGGGAGTCAAGCTAGGTGGCTTTCTTACTGATATTTATACCCTATCCGGCAGGCTATATTGGTCACTCTCCAGAGAAGGCGATGACCTGGTATTGTGTATGATTTCTCACTTATACACAAGTGTGAAAAATATACTTGTGCAATAGAAGTGTAATTATTTTGTAAGAGGGTACTGTCAAACTATTGCGCGACGTAGCACAGAAAAAACAGTATTGTTTTGACCCTTTGCAATTTTTCTGCAGTCTCATAGTTCTCTCAAGCGCTCGATTATAGATTCCACTTAGAGCAGAGTATATAATTATATAGTATATAGCCAGAATATGGTACACAGAGTTCAATCCAACGACTCGATAAATCCACCTTTCGTAAATGTGACATTCTTATCCTCGTCGTTCTTATCGGCTATCTTTACATCTTCCACGAGAAAGCGACTCGTTTTCGAACCAGCGTGGTTCTCAATCTGTAACTTGACACCATTAGGTCCTTGTGTGCGTGGTAGTGAAAAGTACTTCTCTTTCCTACCACTTTCAGCACTAGCCCAGTTGCCGATCTTGCATTGTCGAGCTCTTAAGCGTCCGCTTTTCTCCAGCGACCTCCTTCGCGTTGCCTTTCCAAAGCCTGTTGCCCTAGCATCTGGTGCTACATGCTTAGTTCCTGTACGTGGTTCGAATGAATCCAGCCCACACAGTATGTCTATATCGTCTAAACAATCGAGCGAACTGTCGTTCCCATCCATCTCTGTGTCGTCGAGCATACCATCTAATTCAAGAAAGTGGGAAAGTGGCAGCGACGTTGTGTGTGCCATACTATCACTGCGCTCCGCATCCTTTGTGTCCAAGGGGATGATGCTTTCTATGATACTATTACTAGAGGTCTTGCCAAATCCAGATCTGGGGATCTTCAGACTATTGCCCAATTGGGTGTTATTCATACTGTTGGTCATATGTATGGCACTAGTCGATAGTTTGCTGTTGTTACCGACTGACCTCGGCATGGCATTTAGCAACGATATATCTGGCGTCTTGAACAGCTGTACATTCGAGTCGTCAACCCTACCCATTCTTTTAAGGGCATCCACTTTGGAGTCTTTGCCTTTGATGGTGCTATTCGTGTCTTTGTTAAGTGAAGTAGTATGTCCCTTCCTTTTTTCTTTCATATTGGATGAACGATAAATATACACAGTTGGCTACGCATATCCTTTTACAACTGTCTCTAATATGCACTAATAATATGCAAATTTAAAATTATCAGCAGGACGGTATCATCTCGCGACAAGTCCTCAACAACCAAACTCCAGAAGGACTATACTGTGCTAAAAAAAGTCATAGAATTAAGGAATACATAAACAGGTTTGTATCGGAATCAAGCCTTTCTATGAAGAAAAAATAGAACATACCACATCTTATTATTTATCATTTCGGAGTTCCGCGAGAGATGCAATTCAGATGTCGTCTTCTTCCACTACCAAATTACGCCCAGAAATCCACGAGAGACCACAGGCCAGTGGCCAGGCCCGCAGCCTACAGAGAGGCGGTATTTATGTGAAGCTGGAGCCTGGCCTGGAATGGCCTTGGGCCCGCGGGCTGCTATTTATTTGAAGAAAAAAATAAATACTATTTAGTAGTCTCAGAAGTCTCAATTCATCAGTCTCAGACTCTCAGTGCTCCGTCGCACAAGTTGAGTCACTGTGTCAAAACTCACACCCTGTTTCATAGGCTCAAAGCCCACTCCCAGGACTTTGAGGTTCTTATATCAATCCACCAGACCACCACACAGGCTCCACAACAGGACGGTCCAGGCTCCAGAGTACAGAGTCCATGTCCAGTCTCCACTCTTTTAAGGATACAATTCCCCCCCCCTCTAAAAACAAATTAAGCACCCAATAAATACATATGTAATTATACAACCATTACAACATATACGTGATTTCACTGATTGGTGATGTGTAATAGAACAGAACAAATTTTCCATTCTCTCTGCAGTCTACAGTCTCTGTAAATACACCTTCTATGGTATTCTATGCATTTTTACAGAAAAAAAAAGTTTGTTTTAATAAATTTCGGCGCAATGACAGTCACAGTCAGTCAGTCTCACAAACTACAGAGACATAGACTACACTCTACTACTAGAGTAGTAGAGAACTAGAGACTAGCTAGAGAGAGTAGTTGCATAGACTACACTCTGTTGACAGGACTCATCAGTCATCACAGCCCAGTGAGCCCACAGGCGACAGGAGTCACAAGACACAAATCACACAATGTTAGAACCACGATGAATCCACTTGATCATATAAAATCAGAAATATATTTTTACTGTTCTAAATATATAACATGATAATTACTATCAAATGATTGAATCATGATATTTTCTCTATTTTTATGAAGAAATGAGTAAAATAAAACGAGTATATATCATAAATATACTCACGATTTGGTTTTCTTTTGTTCTAAAAAAATAGTAATATATAAATATAAATATTAAAAAAAAATCGACATATTTACATACTGGTCAGTAGTTCTGTACTCTGTAGGAGTGTGTGGTCCTGTAGCCTGAGGGTCACTGTATCAGCCATCAAGATTCAAGGACTGCAACTTTAACAGTTTAACGTCTTCTATTTATAGCGACTTTGAAAACACGAATGACGATTCGGATTGTCATATCAGTCTTGAATTCTCGATTCTCATAGGCCGGCGCCTCCCAACAAGAGAGTCTCAGAGACTCACAGTCTCAGTCTCTCAGACCTCAGGCTCAGTCTCACACTCTCACAGTACCTATTTAGCTCAATATTTTTGTGTTTTTAACTATTTTTATTTAAAACAAAATAGCTTGGGGGTTTTTAGTCTTTTAGATATTTCCACTAAAATATTCAACCTGGTTACGGACAGTCCGTTGTGGCATTTTCTTCTTCTCTAGTAGCTCTCTCTGGGTCAGGAACTATTGACCTGGTAAATTGGTAATTGCCAAAAGATCTATTTATTTTAGCACTTCTTCACAAAAAGTGGCAATTTTTAACTGATTTTGGAACTGATACATAGTTGTATTTTATATGACTCAAGGGCTCAAGGCTATGCATAGTAATTAGTTTTGTAACGATTCACGCGTGAAATCATAGCCTTTTAAATTAGACGCAAGGAGTGGGCTGGTAATGAAAGTGCGCAGGGAATATGCCTTGTACTACATATTTTTTCTACGAGGTGTACAAGAGAATACGCCTCAGCACCGCTTTCTATATATATATATATATCATACACACACACGCACACACACTCATATATATACATATACATATATATATATATATATATATATAATATAAATATACATTGTTTATGTATATATATAATGTATATATATGTATAAATATACATATACATATATATATAATANATATACATACATACATATACATATATATGTATATAAATATATATTTATGTCTATATATATATATACGAAAATCACACACATACACACACACACATATATATATGTATAAGCATATATACATATATACATAAATATAAATATATAATACGTAAATACATACAACATACATATACATATATATACATACATATTTATATGTACATGAATATACATATACATACACACATACATTCATACATACAAATATATATATATACGGTAAGTTCGGGATCTATAAGGTCATCGTAAGAATTGCAGATATTTTCGCCTGTAGATCGTGTATGCTCATTAACACTATTGATAGATACGAGCACTTTGCGTTGGTTGTAAACTCTATGATGGTTGGAAGCCTGCTGATCTTACACCAAATCTTATAACTCAATGTATGCCTGACAAAGCCCATATAACACCAAAATAGCCCCTACTTCCAATAATGTATGCTGCATAGATCTATTGACTTATAGGGCTGATTTTGACCTGTTCGTAGGTTGATCGGACTTGCGTGTGGTACGTAGCTGTGAGATAAAAAACACCAAAGTTTATGCAGTTATGCACAATCTGTTCATGTAGAATTTACATATGTTGAAAATTATGTGTGTGCTGTTTTTTTATTTTTAAAAAAATATTTACAGCGTGACACAGTGAGACTGTGAGCCTACTGACAGTGCAGACCGCAGAGTGCAGGGCTGCAGCCTGCAGGCTGCACTGCTGCAGAGCCTTCAGTGTGCTGGCTGCAGAGCGCAGACCTGCAGACTGCAGTCAGTCACAGTGTGTACACAAAACTTGAGTGGTCTATTTATAGCGCTTCTTAAATCAGAGTCCAACCTGTTGAGGACTTGAGTGGGCTTGAGCCTTGAGCCTTTGAGGGCTGAGGGCTGAGGGCCTGAGGGCCTGAGGCTGTGAAAGTGTGGCTGTGTGAGTCTGTGTCTGTCCACTCATCAGCATATACTCGAGTCATCACTATCCATTAAGGCCCAGTCTTAACGGGTTCGGATTTTGCGTTCGGATTTTGCGTTCGGAAAGTTTTTGGTCGCTCCTGCCTCAAAGCAGTGTCCAATGTTAATTTTTGGACTACTTCGCTGTATTGAGTGCAATTTGTTTACGTACTATTTCAATATTTTCAAGCTATATGACTCATAAAGTCAAGAGAGCACTAATTGGATAATCATTATTATGGATCTGAGAAAAAGCAATACAGAATACACATGTATTATGCAAATTTATATCATTTTAAATATATTTATACAATATAGTGAAGTGTGTTAGTATAAACAGTCATACGTCTTGGACAGTATGGAGAATATCAATGATCTGGAAGAACCGGATTGCGAATGCATATCACTGAACGAGTGTTCGATGTCACATTGCAGTACGTCACGAACCAGTGACAAACAGCACTTCGAATATTGATCACAGTAATTACATTCACGACTTTATTACTGGCCAATCACAAAGCTTGTGAAGTTGAACACATTTCCTAGTTTCCAGTACGTATATTAACCGCAAAAGCGAGTTTACGTAGAGAATTTTCTAAATCCCGTAATCCGATCCGAACGTAAAACTTCTCGTGGGGTATTTTTGCCCTCGAAAAATTGACCTCGTTCGGAATTTTTTTTTTTTTGGCTTTTTCATGAAATTTTAAAATTACCTTATACCTATTGGTGTAGAAATCCGAACGTAAAATCCGAACGCAAAATCCGAACCCGTTAAGACTGGGCCTAAATAGACAAATATAGTCTCGGACTCTCGGTGACCCACAGGTCCACTTTTCCAGTCTACCCCCACCAATAAATTTAAAATAATAACACGACACTCAACAGACTCTACCCTGGCAGTGGTCTGTACTCACTCCAGTTTACAGCCTTAAACACAGTCCTTCGCCAGCAGAGCAGGTAAAAAAAACAAACTATTTACAAGTATGTACATATGTTAAAAAGATGTTCTGTAAATACCATAGCGGCATCGCCTTCGAAATTGACATATCTACCTACTTTTAAAAAACCTAGGAACCTAAAATGAAAATAAAATAAAATATTTATTTGAAAGTCTAAAAACCGCGTGGACAGTGATTCAGTAGTTCACAATCCCGAGTTGAACATTGTCATGCTGTTCTTTTGCACTTTGCAAGCTGTGTCAATATATATATATATATATATTAATAGTTGAAACAGATAATTCAGTTCGCAATCAAAATGCTATCTCAATGGTAAGTGGTGTATACGTTTCGAGGTGGTTCTTTCTTTTATGTTTGTTCCAAATGAAGATTATTAACTACGACGGTAACTGAGGGGATTGTGTCGGCCGTAACTGGTATATCACCTTCCTCGCTGCGGCAACTATTAGTCAACGATGGATAACCTTTATACTTTCAAATAATCATAGTCGAGTTTATAAAATGGGCTCATAAAACTCTGTTCTTCTCATTGCCTGTTTCGCAGATTCTTTAGGTTTGGATGGGAAGGTCTATAGACCTGTATAGCCCGTTGTAGCAAAGGTATGGTTCAATTTTGAACTTCTGCACTTGCTAGACGTGCTTCCGAGGTCAAAGAGTGATAGTGATTAAACAATAGATAGGGACAACTGAAAATTTCTTGTAGAGGAAAGTCTTATTCTGGGATGGAGACATCTTCAGCGAATGAACACTTTGTACGATCTCATAATTGTTGGATTATATTTTTATCGTTCGTAATTGTTCCCTCATTCAGCACGTTTCTTACGAATCTTACAGATCGCCGAACGGGAGCCAGTGGACCTTTGTGACCTTTTATTCTACTTTGTCCGTTATGCTGTTGTCTTGTTTCGTATAGATTATCTGCGTAGCGTGTTTTTTATGTCTTGTATGTATGGATGATGTATGTCTAGTCTTTAGAGTATATAGGTAACAATTATATATCCAACGGATCGTGAGGTGTTGAAGGAGTGAGCTTCCTGCATTATCCTGTGTCACCTCCGACATGAAGCGCCCAGAAAAATTTTCAGGGATATCAGGAATTCCTCTGTGTTCGTCAGAGCATTTTTTAAATAGGTAATTATGGATCTTCTACACTATTGTCATATTTCGAGCGATTCGCATGCTTCGTTAGTGATTTAAAACTAGATAGGGACACGGAAAATTCCATGTCGAGGAACATCTTTTTCTGGGATGGAGACATCACCAGTTTATGAACGAATCCGAGGATTTTATTTTGGACTTGTACGCTTGAAAGTTGCCAACACAATCTATTCTATTCTATCTACAGCTCTGCAATAGGGAATTTGACATGCTGATAACAAGTTTCTGAATAAGGTGAGTAGTTATGTGGATTTTGTGCAAGTTCTTGGTCCTTGATGTTTTTACAAGCTTTGTTTTAATTTCTGACAGTCGTTGAGGAAATATTCAGTATCCTGAGACCAAATAAGACCTTGCGTTCACAATAATTATGTTTTAATTTCTCTAAACAATCTCTTTATATTTTCTTCTTTCAACTCTATTAGGTATCGTTCGGGAGTGGAAATAGTCTTCGTGTTTTCTGATGTCGATTTTATTCAGTTTACAAAATAATTTTAGCCTTGTAAATTTCAAATAAAAGATTTCACTCGAGTAGTCTCTGCGAACGCTTAACGCTGATTCAATTATATCATTTTCGCGAGAAAACATGTGCCAGAATTTTTATCTTCTAGAATGATGTATTTCATTTCTATCGCTGATATGCCAACCGGCACACAGTATCCTGTCCTAGAGGCATTGCAAGGAATCGCCCACGATGATCCATAGCTCTGCTGTGTAACAGAAACTCCGTATCTACAAACCAGATAGTTGGCATTATGTACTGAACTCTATGCGAGCGGAGATGTACCCAGTGACTGCTCCTTATTTCAAGTGCGATTTAGGAAACGTGTGCCTGTTAAGCTTTTCGGGTTTGTTGAAATAATTTAATAGCTAAGCTCAGTTATATCATAACTATACAGGCTTTGGACCTCAGAACTCTCAGAATACTCACAAATATACTCTCTGAGTGCATTGTAGATACCTAGCTACATAGACAACACATACATAGCTATATGGCCATTTGAAACCTGCTCAAAAGCGTCCACTTGTTTAGGATTGTCGATAATTTGTCCAATAATACGGTAGACGTGACACGCCACTTCGTGAGTGGTCGCTTATAGGAATCAGACAGCACTGAAGCATTGCATCTACGTACGTATGGTTCCTCTCATTTGCGTCTGGTTTTGTGTTTGCCAATGGCATAGCATCGCATCGAGTCGAGACTAGACTGTTCAAATCACAACAGTATCCTCAAAAACAGTTCACTGGTATCTAGAGTACCTAAGTTCTTCGGTGCACATCGGTGACTCCCATAGTGTGCATGCCAAAAGGGAATACACAGACATGTACATAAAACCCCCGTACAACCGAGTCCATCCACTGTTTTGGGATAGCAGGTGTTTACCGGACGGCATCTATTTTGTCAGAGTCACTTGATAAGATTACTGCCAAACCGCATGCTTTTGATGGATTTATCTTATCTTTGTTTGTTTATTGGGCGGCTTTGCCGGAGTGTTTGATGAGCCATTGAAGGGTGATGTCGATATTGTTTTGATTCTTACACGAGATGGAATAGCAGCACACCTCTCGGCTTGTGACTGACTTGAGATCCCTATTAAAAATAATGATAAAATAAAACATAAACGGGTCAAAAACTCCGTACGAGAACAAGGCCAATTTCAATGATCCACCAACACACTCATTCGCAATAAAGCGCAGATAGTTGTATGGGAAAGGTTAATAATGCTTTCAATCAAGTATAAATAGAACATCGAACTACTAAGTAGGCGCACACACATATATTTCCAGGGGTGTAGATGATACTTACGGTCTAACACAACCCTTATGCGAAACCACCAACTATGATATACAGGAGACAGCTCACAGGCACAACTAATGTCATTGTACCACATAATAATCTCAATTTTATAATGATGCAGGCAGCATAGAAAAGCCCAATAAAATCCCATGGCGGTGCACATTCCTGAGAACAGACAGGAGAACGAAGAGCTCGTTATCAGAGTGCAATATTTGTTGTGCAAAACGTTCACCAGTATAAGAAACCCTTGCTAACACACACTTAACAGACTCTCAACATAAATTGAAGCGACACTTGCATTCGATTATGAAACTCGAATGCACACTCCCTGGATACATACCAGGAATTGATGATGTCATCCACGGACATGGCCCCGGGAAGATCATTTTTATTGCCCAGAATCAATACCGGGATACCTGGGGTGTGTGTGGGGCGGGAGACAAGGCATAGAGGTTCAAAATCTCAACGAAAGATGTGTGGGAGCGGATATAGAAATCTGCAACGGAGGAATGTCTCCGGCAACGCTTTTCTGTCTGTGGAATATACCAGAGCACCGGAGAGATGCAGTAACTCACTATTGTTCTTTTATCAACCTAGCGATATTCGAGCAAATGTATCTCACCCACGCTTAAGCATACGCTGACGTGCAAGCTAAAGCACACACAGGAAAATGCAGACCGCACCCACACCAGACCAGAAACATACACCTATATAGAGACACACGCAAAGAAGCTTACCATGTATGTGCACACACATCTACCTACATACGCACACACACAACAGCAAAGAAACCGATGCTCGACACCCACGTTACTTAACCGCAAATGCTTTACATTTACATCTGGGGGTTTTGCATTCATGCGGATACCTTGTAATGCGGGCTTCTCGAGTAGTTGTAACAAAACGGTCTTCGATTGGTTCACCTTTTCTGAGTCTTTCTCGGCAGCGTCCACCATATATCTGTGGAGAGGGAGAGTAGACGAAGCGGCAAGCAAACGAGACTGAGATCATTTGTAAGCTTGTAGATATAAAAGAGAATGAATTCAATAGCTGGCACATCCAAATCTGGTCAATGAAGGCACCCAGATCAAAGTATAATACAGCATTGCGTGTTTCTACTTGACCTTCTGAGACGCACTTTAAAAAGTCTTGAATGCTGACAGCAATGAACCCTGTCTGTAAACAACTCTATAAACATAATACTGTCGTTACTAAGCTGTGGATTTCAAACTCAGCAATATCTGGGCGTGCGATTGAGGCAAACATAATGCAATGGATGGTTACGAAGCAAACACACACACACGCACACCCATACGTATACACATTCAAACTAAAAGATAATGCATACACATGAATTAAAAGTGACCACTACAAGTTGTAACCGCGGGGTTTTGTTCCTCGGGCACATACACAATCGCGTTGACGCCTCTGCAGTATCGCTCCCACATTGATCTGAATCGAGGCTGACCCCCGATATCCCACAGTTTTATCGTAACGTTTCCTTTTGTGACTTTCCTCATATTAAATCCAACTGTCGGAAGCATATCCTCTGTGTATTGTCCAGACTGTGTGCATTCCAAAAAGGATTTTGACAGTTAAAATGGAGTACCCGAGTATGCCAAGGTAGATTTTGCCCATACATTGACGTGTCACGTGAGAATACCCACATACATGTGAGTCATTCGTATATAATACAATATTAAGAACGTGCGTCAATGTACCGATTGTATCTGGGACCAATGGGCATGAAAAAAACATTCCACGAGCATATGATTCACACCTTCGTGTGGAAATAAGAACGTATGAAAATTAGAACAAATTTTATAACTGAGCTGATAATGAAAATTGCAATAATAAAAACTTTCCGTAGAACGGGACACTTCAATACAAAATTCCAGGTCATATGAAGGTACAGGATATAATTCAAAAACAATGGTCATGCAGTAGTTCATACAATACGACTAGCAAAAGGAACTACAAGCATATAACACACACAAGAGACACAAAAGCACAGATACAGATACAGACACACACACACACATTTATATATATATAATATATACACACGCACGCACAAATTCACAAACACACACACACACGCACATAATAGAAACACACACAAACACACACACACATATATATATACATATACACATACATACATACATACATACATACATACATACATGTATAT